CCACTATCGACACTCCTGAATATGGCGGCGGCGGCGGCAGCAGCAGCGGTGAGCGCGGTGGGGTCGATGCGGTTTCACTGCATGATATGCTGACAAAGCTGCGCAACGGGGGAAAGCTTCTGAAGGGGGGGATTCCTTTCGACATCCTGCCGCTTAGCGTGGGGGTGGATATCACCGAAAAGATGTGGCAAGACGGCGATGAGAGTGCACTTGTGGTTCTCTATGCACCGCAGGTATTCCCGCATTTCCACTACGAGCAGCTGCTGCCGCTGCTGGCGGAACTGAGCGCGACCGTCCACCGCCTGCGCAACGAGGCGGCCAAAAGGCGCGGCATAGGCAACATCAGCGGGGATGCTACTGTTGATGAATCTAATGACAACTACGCAACAGATAACGTGCGGGCTCCAGCGCAAAAAGACGATGGAGTGTTGCTGAATACACACGGATTCCGTGTACTCGTGGTGGACGCATCAGAGGCGGGGGATGAACTGCAGCAGCTGTGGGAGAAAAACTTGACGACACACAAAGGCAGGGCATCGCTAGAGTCTTCGCCCAATGATGGGGTTGCCCCACATCCACTCTTCCTTGTGGATGAAGAGGTCGATAGCAACACCAACGATGATGATGATGATGACGAGGGTGATGTTGCTGTGCCTGCTTTTTCAAAAACAAAGGTGGAATTGTTGCAGTTGCTCCTCTCGCCAAAGGGCCCGCGACGCCGCTCCTACCGCGTACACCCCAGTGTCCTGGAGAGGCTGCGCAGTAACGCAGAGACTGAGGAGAATAATGCACCAGCAACGCTACAGCTGCTGCGGGAGTTGCCTCCCGTACTGCTTTTCCCGGCGGCGGAGGCGCCAATGTTCCTTCCACAGACTCTACTGCGCTGCGGCAGCGCCGTGGAGTGCGGCCCGATAACACCCACTGCGCGTGCGGTGCTCCAGCACCAGCAACGCTGCGGCTGCATTGAACTCTCCACCCTTGTGCAGCCGTTGCTACAGTTCGTTCTTGACGAGCTACGGCAAACCACGGTGATGGAGCTCAACGCGCGGCGCCGCACGGCTGAGTTGAGGATACAGCGCCGCTGGTGGAAGCGTGTCAAAGTCCCAAACGGCGTGCGCTGCGGGGGATACAGCAAGGACGATGAGGCGGACGATGAGCTGTTTAACGCCCCTGTTGGCTACGCCGAGCTGAAGGGCAAGACCGACGACGAGGTCGACCGCATGTACTTGGGGCCTATGAAAGACAGGCTGCGAGTGCTGTATCGCCTACGCGACATGCCAGTGCTGCAGGAGGCACGAAAGGACGCCGCACTGGTTGCACGCGTGCGGCAGAAGCTGAGCGACATGCCAAAGCCGGGTGGTGCGGGCCCAACTATGTCGCCCGGCGACAATATCTTCGACGCCGAACAAGCACGGGAGAGGGAGAACTACATGCTTGTCGTGGAGTACCTCGGCGCCAACAGCAGGGTGGCGCTCGAGCTCTTAGACAAGGACCCGTGCCAGCACCCGCTGCGCCACCTCGAGGAGCGGATCAGAAAAATTGCGCTTGTGCTCAGCAGCATCCGCATAGAGGAGGGCCGCGGGACGGCGGCGGATCAGCGCGATGTGCGACTGCACGCCATGACGCGGGAGCACAAACGCCGACGGGCGCAGGCGGAGCGGTTCCTGCGGAACATGAAGGAAGAGCGGAGGCGGCGTGAGGAGGAGGAACAGCAGCAGCAGCGCCTCAGAGCAAGGGACCAAGAAGAGGAAAGAAGTAGAGCTGACTTGTGACACACCCACACACCCACACCCACATCTTTTGTCAAATAACGGTAACATCAAAGCCCAGCAATTCGGGCCTTGAAAAATATCTGACATGTTTTGGATTCTTCTGCAGCCGTGTGCGTGTGTACGTATGCATGCATGTATGCATGTATGCATGTATGTGTGCGTGTGTGCGTGTGTGGAGTCGAGACAGAGCCCCGCATCCGTTCTCTTTTGCTTTCTTCCTTCTTATTCATGAAACACTTGGAGGTGATCTGTTATAACAGCAAACATCACTTACCAATTCCTTACATTAATGCAGCGACATCCCCTTTCGCGGGTCTCCGTGCCTGCTGGGCCACTCCTGCTGCTGCTGCTGCTGCTTTTGCTGGTGTCAGGGNGTGGCACCACTGGAGCGTGGGGCGCGGCAGCTGGGGCGGAACACGAGGCTCCCATTGCCCGCCTGGAGGAAATGGTGCGATCGTCACTGGGTGAAAAACTGCCGCCATCCGTGTGGGAGGTGATGCGCTTCTTACCAGATCCCCAGCGCCTTGAGGAGTTGCTGATGGAGGCAAAACAAGAGTGGTGGTGTGTCGCCTTTGTGAACACCTCCTCCAGCAGCGCACGAGAGCGATCTGTTGAATTTATAAAAGAAGCACTTCTGCATGCTACCACCATGCTGCAACAGGAGCAGCAAAAGCAGCAAGAGGAGTCTCCTCCCAAAACCCCTCCCGCCGCGCGCGTGGCGGTGATGGACCTCGGCGAGGCAAGCACCTACTTTGATCTGTATCCCTTCGCACACGTCTTTGGCGGCGATGACGGCGCAGGCGACGTTGTCGCAAGTGCCCGCAGCGATGTGCTGGCGAACGTCGAGCGCATGGTGCGCGACGGCCGGGTGCTGCACGCGACACGAAAGGACCTTGAGGCTCCCGTCCTCCTCCTGTTCCGCCCAGGTGCCGTGGCCTATCTGCGCGAGGGGCGGCAGTGGACGGCGAGGCAGCTGGAGCAGCAGGAAAATCAAAAGCCACTGCGCATGATGGTGCACGCAACCCAGATGCAGCACTTCATCCAGGAGGTGCCGCAGCGGACCGTCACTGCACTTCAGAGTCTCGCACAGCACCTGCTGTCAGACTACAAACAGACTGCCGCAAAGAGAGCGGTCGCAGAAAAGACAGACGCGAGCAACGACAACAACCACAACCTTGACGAGAAGGACCCGGATCTGGGTATTCTGTCGGAGGATGAGGCGCGGCGACATCAGTCGCAGGTGCTCAGTGCGCTGCACAGAATACGCGAGCACCAAAAGGCGAGGCATGAGCATCCGCCTCAGAGTCCATACGGCATCGACTCGCTGAAGGGAGGTACAGTGCAGGAGCGGGCGCAAGAGCTGCTGCGCCGCATCAGGGCGTCCAATGACAAGCATGATGAGGTGGACAACGGGGGGGCTGACAAGGAGCGCAACGCGGAGGAGGCGGAGGCTGCGGCATCTCCCGTGGAGGACACCACTGTGGGGGGTGATCTGTAGGCAGAACTGCAGTTCTTAAAACGACAAAGCAAAGAGAAGAGAAAAAAAAACGTTGATTATTATTTTTACTACTGGTTGACTGATGGTGCGCATGTGTTTGCATCTCTCTCTAAATTCGAGGGTGTTTTGTTTGTTTGTTTGTGTTTTTGTTGTGGCCTTGCTGCTGCAAAGAGGTGTTTCGGAAACGACTCTGCTTGCCGGGGGCGCAGCCTTCTCCTGCTGGCCTCTCCGCCCGCACACCACTGTGGCGCAAGCCCCCCGCATGACGTCCCTTTCGCTTCTCTCTCCTTTCTCTGTCTCTCTCTCTCTTCGCTTCTCTCCCTCTTTGGACTGGCAGGATATCAAAAAAATATCCGCACTCCCCCCCCCCTCACCTGTGACGGGCAGTAGGAGCGGGGCGAGGGAAAAGAGCAGAGGAACCAGAAAAGGGAAAGGAACACCAAAGCCCAAGAGGGGGCGGGGGCAAGGCGCACCAACCAATCAACAAGCAAGTAAGCAACAGAAGACGAAGGCAGAGGGAGGGAGGACTCCACAGCGACTGAAGGTGCAGGCGGTGGATCCACCTTCCCTTCTTCTCACCGCCCCGCTCTGTGCCCCATTGCCAAACTGCCTGCAACACACACACACACACACACACACAAGGAGAGGGAGCGAGGGTGAGTGGCGCATACATACACAAACAAATACACACACACACACACACATACAGACAAAGTGTGACAGTTGCATCCCAGAAGCGGGGGAAGCGCAAGGGAAACAAGAAACAAACAAACAAAACAAGAAAGAAAGAGACAGAGTGACTTTTCTTATAGTAGTCTGAAGGCGTTACTACTTTAGGGTGACGGTGCGAAGAGGAAGGCAGGTAAGTGGGAGGGAAAGGGCAAGAAAAAAAAAAACGAGTACGTGAGTGTTTGAATCGAGCGTTTGTTTTCTTTTGCTTTCTTCGTCAATAATTTCTCAGCTTTGCTTTTTTTTTCGTTACCTGCCGTGCCTGCTGCTGCTGCTGCTGCTGGTCTCGATTTCAGTCAGTTGTATACTCTGTATAGACAACATTCGCCCTCCAAAAACTCCCCAACAACAACACCAAAACAAAACAACAACCTCGGCGCAGTACGTCACAGAACACCGCTGGGGAAATCAAAGCTGAAGCGGTACGATCTGTAAGGCGTTGCTACACGAACACATACACACAGACATATATATATATATATATAATGACGTTGGTGGACGGCACGTGTAGTGAGGAGGGGATGCAAACGGTGTTGGTCTCTGCTCTCTGCAGCGGCGCGTTCGCGCTGCCGGCGTGGCTGCTTCTGGCCCTGGGTGGCCTCTTCACTGGGGTGTTTCTCTTCCTGCCGTGGTCTGCGAGCCCCGCACATATTGCATTTATAGTTGTATCCGTTCTGATTGGCTTCGCCTTCGCGGTGCTACATTGGCGATTGTCCCCGAGACGGGTGACACCATCAGTGCATGATAGAGACGTTATGGACCCCGGTCTGGACAGCAGCGTTGCCCACCTCCCACAGCACCTTCCGCTCACTAGAGACCCTGATGATTCCTGCTTTCCTGTTTCGCCTTGGACCAAGCGGTGCCGTAATGTGCTACCTGTTCTAGAGCTGTTGATATTAGGCATTCTCGTGCTCGTTTCTCCGCACGTGATGAGTGGTGACACGACTGGAGGAGTGATCACCGTGGCGGTGCGTGCCGACAGTGTTTCCAGTGAGCTCGTGTACCCAGTAGAAATTGCATGGAAGGTATGCTTCCTGCATCTATGGTTTTTGCTAACCTTTAGTGTCTCCTTTGCGGCGGACCTTGTCACAGGCTTGTTGCACTTTGCAGTGCTGATGGCACATTATCAAAACTTGGGCGGTGTTACGATGATGGTGTCGGCAATGTGGCTTGCACTGCCTGTTCTTTGCATCGCCTGCGTCGCCGCACAGCATCAGAGACGACTGCAGTGCCAGCGACACAGGGATGCCGATATGTGGCAGGTAGGCGGCGACGCGCCTATTCGATGCAACGGCTACCGCAACGCTGCAAACATGCTTGACGACATTGAATGCCTCTCTCCACCTGGAGACATTGCTCTGCAACAGCGCACCACAACCTTGTTGGACCGGCATACGATGAAGTCTCCGTCCTCCCTGGAGGGACATAATTACTTCGCGACCGTGCCAACATCTGTGATCGCGCGCCGTTGGCGAAAACAGTTTGCTGGAAAGGACACTCAACGTACTGAGCCACTCGTATCGGATGTGCTGCAAAATAAAAGGACAATAAGTCCTTTCTCGGACGACCTTCGGGCACCGTATCTTCTTATAAACTCGGGTAGTAACATAATCGTGAGTGCTAGTGTGAGTTTTGCGGCGCGTGTGCGCATCGCCGTCGAGAACCTCGTAGGCCGTCCGTTGACTGCTATTCTGAAGGAACTCGAGGTAGAAAATGTGAGTGGGCTGATGGAAGTTATTCGCTCGGTCGTTCATCCTGCTGGTAATGACGGTCTGGGGGGGACTGAGAGGGGCCCACGGGGCAGGAGAGAAGCGCGTCGCTCCGCGTCACCGGAATTGTCACTAGATGCGGGGGCAATATTAGAAGGAGACGGAGGTGATTACTCAACGGTACAGGGTCGTGCTTCACTGTCACGCATGGGTGATGATAATGTGAGTCGTGTTGTTCTGCGTGGTCGATGTCCACGCGATGCTCAAGATTTGCAACCTGTGGGAGATGCCCTCCCTGCTGCACGGGGATGTCGAAGTGGTAGTCGCAACAGTTCCCCTGCGCCAGAACTGGACGCCACGCGATCAGCTCTCTTCTCCATCACATTGGATGTGTGGATGGAGTGGCGGCGTGGCTCCACTGATTCATTTATTGTTCTCCGCCAGCCACGCTTACACTGCGCACTTGACTGGACGCCACTTTCGTGTTTCCTTGCCCAACCCATGACAGGGCAAGTGCTGTACTGGAATCCTGCAGCAGAGCAGCAGACTGGACTGTTGGCGTACGACATGATAGGCTGGCCAGTGCACGCTTCCCCTCTTCCCGGCACGTCGGAAGCGCAGAGTGACTATGATCACAACATCCACTGCGATGGGACACGCGACGCAGAATGGTTAGAGCAACGGAGAGGGCGGTGGTCGCGGCTGGAGTCGCCATTGCGGGCATTGGTGCACATCCCGTCCTCTGTGGCGGCTCCACTGGTGGTGACGCTGCAGCCTCTCACTGGCGAGTTCATGGACGACGAAGGCGCCGCGTTGGACGGTGACGTGGCAGGCCTTATGTGGCCGCCGCGACACTACACGAAGGCGGAGGTGCTCGTTTCGGAGGGACGCCGGGCGGCGAGCTATCCACCCGAGGCGAGGGAGTACCGTCTTGGGGGTAACGTGACGCCAATTAAGATGCATTGTGTATTGGGTGACTCTCCTCCAACACACTCCAGTGACGTCAATGGAATACGGTCGGTGACGGCGTGGAATTTCGGCTCTTTGGTGGCCAACAGAAGCGATGCGGGTGCGTGGCCCATCGCGGGTGTCCCTTTGTTGTTTGTTATACAAGATGAGATGCACTCATCACCCAGTTCCACCTCCAATCACCATGTGGCGCAACTGCAAAACTCTATGCATGCCATTAGCGAGTTTCTGCAGAAATATCGAGACACCCTGGGTGATGATTTCTTTGTTGGGGCGAAACCAGACTCTTCTTCAACGAAGTTGAACGGGGAGGTGACTTCCTCTAACACCGCCGGACAGCTGCAAAAATTGAAAGAGGCTATGAACCAGGTGGCACAGGCGATTGACGTCATTCAAGAGGCACAGGGGACATCGGCACCAAGCAGAAAAAGCAATGAAGCTAAAACCAACGATGATATTGACGGCAACACTAATAATAATAATGCTGCTGCTGCTGCTGATGATGATGATGATAATGCCGGTGACGATGAGGTATTCAGAGCTGCAGTGGATGGTAGGTCAAAAGTGCCGCCAACGTCGGGGGTGCCCGCGCTGGGGCTGACGCCTACACCGCAGTCAGCGCAAACATCCCATCTCACCAGCAAACGTCCGTCACCACTGCTTGTTGATAACCCCGGCGTTGCAAGCAGAGAGGAAGAGGTGAAAGAGCACGCACTCATCAATGATGGTGGTGTTGGTGGTGTCAATGACGAGGATAGGGAGCGAGGTAGTAAGGCCCGTGGACCAAGTGGCAGTGGTGGTGGTGGTCTTGCTGGCAGTAGCAACACAAGTCACCTGCGCAAGACGGGCACCCCATCGGGTGGCCGTAGCCGAAGCATGACAAAGAACACGTCGGCGCCGCGGCTCATCAGTCCGTTGCCGATGGAACACTCGAATATGAAAACGAACGATGAGGTGAACGTGATTGACGAGACAGTGATGCAAGAGGAAAATGCTTCTGGGGACCCTGCGTGCTCGGCTCACCACCACACGCATAATTCTCCACGTCTACAGCAACCTGCAGCGAGTATTATTGCGACGCTTTCTGCAGCAAACTCAGCTGCGCCCAGTGACTTTGTTGCTTCCCCAACTGTCAACAACAGTCTCAACAACGAGGAGCCACCGATATGGGCGATGCTTCGGAGTAGTGACGAGGCGACCATTCCATCGTGTTTCATTCGCGTGGCTTCTGGTGAGGCATTCCGCTTCGGTCGCAGCAGTAAGTGCCACGCCACAACATCCGATACATTTGTGAGTAGTATTCAATTCACTATTGTGCGACAACCAGGCCCACAGCCGCAGTTCGTGCAGCCTAGCATCCGCCAATATCGTAGTAATGGCAGCCCTTCTAGCGGTCATCGCCAGACATCAAGCCTCTCAAGCCCGTGCCATCCTCCCATCGCATCTGGAAACTGGATTGTCCTGCTTCACGACAACAGCGCCAACGGCACGTACGTGAACGTAAAGAAGGTCAACAAGGGAAAATCATGCGCGCTGCGTGACCATGACCTCATCACGTTTCGTCTGAGTTCTTCTCGGTTCTTCTTGGGTTTCCAGTTTTTGTTGACGGATGAACGAGGGGTGCCACTGCGAGAAGCGGAGTCGGCTGTCACACCAACACTCTCTCGCATGGACTCTACAGGTATGTCAAGACGTGGCACGCCATATCTACATCAGCGCAACTCCTCCGATAACGGGAGTATTGCCGCGGCTAGCGGCAGCCAGGTGAGCGGAGCAGCGCATAACACCAATAACAACACCAGTGTTGGTAGTAGCCGACGTGTTGGAACGAACATGAGGAGCCGCAGCGGTCGACCCGGCGGTGGTACACACCACCGTGAGACCATTGAGTGGAAAATTGGTGAGGAAATGCTTGGCAAGGGTGGAAACGCCGAGGTATATCTTGGTATCAACCTGACGAATGGAAAACTCATCGCCGTGAAACGGGTTCTTCTTCCCACTGGGGCAACCGGTGACCCAGCCAGCAAGGACGTGCTGCAGCAGTACAGAAGCCTACAAGAAGAGATTAATGTACTCTCAAAGGCTGTGCATCCGAACATTGTGCAGTACTTCGGATCTTCGCAAAACCAGAAATACTTCAATATTCTCCTTGAGTTCGTCCCTGGTGGATCTCTGCGACACTTACTGGACAACTTCGGTGCGCTTGGCCCAGGAGTTATTTGCTCTTATTTGCGACAAACACTAGAGGGCCTTCGTTATCTGCATCAACATAACATTGTTCACTCCGATGTGAAGGCGGCGAACATTCTTATTACCGACAAGGGTCGCGTCAAACTGTCAGACTTTGGTACCGCTAAGCTGCTGAACCGAGGACACAGCCAGTCAGTGGACCGTGCTGGCAAGGCAGAGGCACCTAGCAACTGTGATGCAGCTACGTATCGCCTTGCGGGCACACTGAGGTGGATGGCTCCAGAATTGTTCCGAGGCGACGGCAACGTTGGGCCTACAAAAGCCAGTGACATGTGGTCTGTAGGATGTGCAGTGATAGAGATGCTCTCATCTGAAGGCCCCTGGTACGAATACGAGTTCGAAAGCGAAGAGCAGATTATAAATCTTCTAAAGTACGCAACTGAACCACCAGAGGTACCTGAATGCCCTGAGCTACCGGAGTTAACGGCCATCGCAAAGCGATGCCTAACACTCATGCCGGAGGCGCGTCCCACATGCGAGGAACTCCTGCAGATGGTGGCGGAAGCGGCAGAACGGTTTCACCAACAGCAGGAGATAAAGTCACCATTGCAACGTGGTGCCTCCCTTTCCCCACAGCCAACTGCTCCGCAGCCATCTGTCACTGCCATGAGTGGTGAGGCTAGCGATTCTATTAAGAAGGAGGCTTAAGCAATGCCACAGCATGACGGTTCTCAGTGAGGTTGGTTGGTTGTTCGAGCAGAGAATCATGCCGAAGAAAAGAATACGGGAAGGAGGACGAGGGAAGTCCGATATTGCAATCCGGCCAAGAAGGGTCATGTGCACCCCCCCCCCCCCCCCCCCCCNCCCCCCCCCCCCCACCACCACCAAACAAAGCAAAACAAAAGCCATAACAAGAACAACAACATTCACTTTTCAAACGACTATTGAGCGTGGGCACCGAGCGGCTAGTCAGACAATAAAATACAACTAAACAAAAGAAAACAAGGGCGAGGAGACAATAAGTACACAATATGCCCAATGGGATTAAAAAAAACACAGACAAAAAAGCATCTGCTTATGACAGACAAAATGCTATTTTGCTGTATATTTCTTTTTTTTTCTGAGTTGACACATAAAGAGTTTGAACTCATCGTTCAACGAATTTACCCATAGTTATAAGCACATACAAATATATATATATATATATATATATTCGTCTAGGTATCTGTACTATTTCAGCTGTAATAGATCTGTAGGTGTGGATATATCACGTACTACTACACTCCGGTGTTGATGACAGTGCGCTCGAATGATGACGATGCGCCCAAATGCCATTCAGGCCCATCGTCCACGCCAGCATCTGCGCCCTTCCCGTTTGAGAGTGTAGTGCCTCCACCACCATCTACTTTTCTTGGCAACTTTGTTGCCGTAGCAGTAACAGTTGGACAATACGTTTCCCTGTGCGTCTTCTTCTTCTTCACATGGCCGGTGCTGCTTCCTTTACACTGGCTGCTGGTGGTGTTGGACCGGCATAACCGGCGGAGGGTTATGCAGCACCAGCAGCAGTGGCCATTCCAGAGCGTGCCACACGTACGCCCGATTCGTGTCCCCGCGTCAAGAGATTTCCCTCTTGAGAATTGGCATCTGCGCTGCGAGGATGGTCGTCAACGCTGGCACTACGGTGAACTGTTGAACGAGGAGGAGGGCAACAAACTCGGCAAGACGCAAGCCGCAGGGCTGGAGTACATTCCATCCAGTGATATTCCCATGATTGGGGCTCACTATGAACAGGCGGAGGCGGCAGTAGCCACACCAACGAAAGAGCTGGACATGCGTTTTATCAAGGCGGAGCGGCGCCGCTTTCTGGAGCAGTACCAGCTCGGTCTCATGGGTACCGCACCCGTGAAACGGCGCCAAACGCCGGAGGATGCTATGCGGGACGGGGTTAAGTTTCTGCTTCGGCTGCAGGACCCGTATTCGGGTCATTGGCCGAACGATTACAGCGGCCCTTTGTTCCTCGCCCCTGGAGTCATTTTCGTGAAATTTATTATTGCAGGTGGAGATATCAAAAAGATGTTTCCACCACACAGTGATCACCGGCACAAGGATGATAGACCGTGCCGCTGTGGGGATGCAGAACGTTTAGAGCTGATACGATACTTGCGCAATTACATGAACACGGATGGCGGTTTTGGTCAGCACACAGAGGGCCACAGCACAATGCTTGGTACTGTGCTGAACTACGTGGCACTTCGTTTCATGGGGGTGCCAGCTGATGATGCAGACATTATTCGTGCGCGTTCGTGGATACACAGCCATGGTGGAGCGGTTTCCATCCCAACATGGGGCAAAGTATGGCTCTGCATTGTGGGTTTGTATAGCTGGGATGGTATTAATCCCGTGCCCCCAGAGATGTCGCTTCTGCCTGAGTGGATGCCGTTTTCACAAGGCCGGCTGTGGTGCCACAGCCGTGTCGTCTCTGTGCCGTTTTCATATTTGTACGGTATGCGATGGATGCCACCACCTCACGCAGTATTGGAGAGCCTGCGACAGGAGTTATACACTGAACCGTACAGCCGGATTCAGTGGGATCAGCACCGCAATAACATCTGTGTCAAGGACTGCTATACACCACTTTCACCACTCTACTTGCTTCTGACAAAAATGCTTTTGTTCTACGAGCGGTGGCACATCAAAAGTCTCCGCAAGCGCGCAATGGAGGTGGCATGGACGCACATCGCATACGATGATGAGAACACACACTTCATATGTCTCGGTCCAGTGAACAAAGCGCTGGATATGCTCGTTACGTGGATACGTGAGGGCGAAAACAGTGGGCGCTACAAGAACCACGTTGATCGCGTAGATGATTACTTCTTCATGGGGCCAGAAGGCATGCGTATGAGCGGCTACAACGGATCGCAGTTGTGGGACACATCATTTGCTGTTCAGGCCATCTGCGCCTGCAATATGGAGCTCCTGTATCCACAGGAAACAGCTCTAGCTCACCATTACGTGGATGTTGCACAGGTTCGAGAAGATCCTGAGGCGGCCGCGCACTTCTACCGTCACCGCACCAAAGGCGCATGGAACTTTAGCACTGGCCCGCAGTCATGGCAGGTGTCAGACTGCACCGCGGAGGGCCTTCGTGTGGTGCTGCTGCTACGTCACAAGCCGTTTTTAGTTACCCGCATCCGCGACGCCGTGGATGAGATATTGTCGTTGCGCAACAGAGGCGGTGGGTGGGCCTCGTACGAGCCCACGCGTGCACCACTTTACGTGGAGCTTCTAAACTGTGCCGACCTATTCAAGAACGTGATGACGGATTACTGCTACGCCGAGTGCAGCAGTAGCTGCATCCACACCTTGTCCCTCTTTCGCGAACACTACCCGAATTATCGTCGGGCCGAAGTGAACACCGCCATTCGCGAGGGTGTGCAGTGCGTCCTGTCGCTGCAGTGCCCAGACGGCGCGTTTTACGGAAGCTGGGCCGTTTGCTTCACGTACGCTGCGTGGCTAGTCGCTAGTGCCTTGTATGTGTCCCACGAGATTGCCGACATGGCGAACCATCCCGCCTGCCTGCGCTTGATTGACTTCCTACTGGCGCGGCAGAACGCCGATGGCGGGTGGGGTGAAGACGTCACCGCCTGCGCGCGTGGTGTGTGGGTCGACAACCCGAACGGCAGCCAAGTCGTGAACACCGCGTGGGCCGTCATGGCCATCATGGCGGCGGCCGGCGACAGTGCCCGGAGCAAGCCGAAGCGACGTGAACAGATTGGCGTCGCAGTGGAGCGCGGCATCCGCCTGCTCATGTCACGACAATTGGCGAGCGGGGACTGGGCGCAGGAGCGCATCAGCGGCGTGTTCAACGGCAATAACCCGATCCACTACCCAGGGTACAAGAACAGCATGCCGGTATGGGCGCTCGGCACGTACAACAGCTGGAAGAGAAGCTACACAATGGCGCGGTACCGCTGAGTCCGCTGCGAAACGTCTGCTCGTGTGAGAGATCGAGGCTCTCTCTCTCTTTCTCTCTGCGCGTGTGTGTGAGTGTGAGTGCGGGAGGGGGTGCCAAGGCGGGCTGGTAAGAGGAACACAAGGAAGGACGAGGGAATGACAGCTAGACGGGGAACACAACGGCAAAGTACGAAAAGTAAACAAACAAGCCAGCGTGCGCTTTCGAGGTGGTAGTGGCAACAAATTTTTTCTACAAAAAAAAATTCGTTTGTTGTTGTGACTCGCTTTGGTCTCCTCTTGCTGCTGCCTCTCCTCGCGTCTCCTGTCTCACGAACCGGGCGAGTGAGGAGGAGAGGAGGTGGGGGGAGGTACCAACAGAGAATGGTGCCGGCGTCACATCACACATCGCTGGACTTGTGATGTGATTGCGATGAGGCGTGCTCTGTGTGCTTGGCTCGCATCTTCACTCATGTGCCTCTGCGTGTGAGGCCGATGCATACGTCTGGGCGTGTCTGCGTGGCCCATTAGCCGCCGCCGCCGCAGCAGCAGCAGCAGCAGCAGCAAGAGCAACAACAACAACATCAGGGAGATGGGGTTATTTTCGGAGAGTTGTGCGAACGTTTTCAAAAAAAAAAAAAATAAATAAACGGTCACACCTCCAACAGCGGGCGGGCAGGAGGAAGAATGAAGGACGCGGTGCAGGGGCTGCTGCCGCAGACCCTCAGCAGAAGCGGGGGGCGACGCTGTAGATGCAGATGGGAGCGGCGTGATGACAATAAAATCAAAAGGAACGAAATAGAACAAGACAAAACAAAAAAAAACGAAGAAACAAAAAACAAAACGAAACACGAAGCAATCACACCACGCAAGTATGGGTTCGGGTGGGAGTGCATATGCCATCGGTCCAAACAAACAAAAAAAGGCTAAGGAAGCATGACGAAAGGAACATGCATCCACAGTTCGACACACAGAGAAAGCCAGGCCGAAGAAAAAGGCGAAGAAAAAATGAAAAAAAAAAAGAAAGAACTGAGGGTGTGATGAACTTAAGGGCCCATAGATTTGTTGCTTCGGACGCGATGTGCCGCTCGCGCTTGCTGTGTGCATGTGTGCTTCATTCCTACTGTCGGGTGTGGCCGTTGCGGCGTAAAGCGAGGGAAGGGAGAGAAAGCAGCGGCGAGTAATTCCACACTCACTCTCACACACGCACATGTATGCATTTATGCCTGGCGTAACATTACAAAGACATTGATGCTTCGCTCCTCCCCTCTCAAATGATTGCACTAACATATATTAGGAAAGGGGACGCGCACGCCCTCTTAAAAAAAAAAAGCTGCGTTTTTTTTTTTTGCAAAGAGATAACACCTCTTTTAACCCGCTTAGGTGTGTAAGGTGCGGTAAGTACGCTCCACCGCCATAAGCCAGAAGAGGTTGACGAAAACACAAGCACTCCAGAAGAGAAAATCACATAGCAGGCCGGTCCGTTCGTGCCTACACTGAACAAGCATAAGCCATGGGCTGCTCGAGTTCAACGAGTGGGCGGACAAAGAATAGCATGGATGGTAGTCTAAAGGACAGTGAACTGAGGGCGACCGACAGTACCAGCGGCACGGGCCAAGCAACTGAGTCTGCTGGTGCTACTAATACTCCACCGGCTACTGCTACTACTCCTGAAGCTGCAATCGTGTCGAGCAACTCACACAACACCTCCGCCACCCCTGCGCGGGATAGTGTTGGTCGCCGCAGCGGTGGTGCGGGCGCCGCCGCCGCTGCAGCCTTTGAGCAGGTCGCGTCTGAGGAACGGAGGAGCAACGCGGGTGCCAACACACCGGCGGCGGTGCCACCAACTCCCATGTCTTTGCTGGACACCCCTCTAATGGCGAATCGGCAGGCTGAGAGACGCCCGTTGTACCGATCCTCTGGCTCCGCAAGAGTGACACCTCTGCATGCTGTTGAGGTGCGTGACTTTCGGCCGTCGACCACGCCGCTAGAAACACCACTTCGATCACAGGAGCGTGGTCGAACAAGGCGCGGCCCTGCCTCACCGCTGCCGGCTCTACACGCCATTGAGGCGCGCAACTCCCGACGATCACCCACCCCAGTGAAACCGGTTCTGCAGGCCTTTGAGGAGCGTGAGACGTGGCGTTCGCCGATACGGCCACCGGAGACTCTCTACGCTATCGAGTGCTGCGAAACGAGAAAGCTCCCCACCCCACGACCGGTGCCGCTTCGCGCCACGGAGTTTCGCAACACGGTGCGGCCTTCTGCACAATGGCCTTCGACTCTGTCTGATTCTGCTGCTCCTATCGTGACCGTTAGCAGTGAATCTGAAGCGGCCGCGTTGGTCTCCCGCACAGAATCGTCGAGGACGACATCATTACAGGCAGTCTCATCGATGCAGCCCTCTACAGCCTCAGGTGGCGTGTCAACGAAAGGAAACGGCAACCCGCCATCAATACTAAAGAAGAGCTCATCGTACTCCCCGCGTAGGGACTCCATTGTTGCGGTGGAAACGCATCCAGGGCGTTCTGATTTGCCCGAGAAAACGCCTTTATCAGCGGTGAGTGGGACAGGAGTAAGGGGAGCAGTGGAAGACTCGGAAGGGTGGCCTGTATACGAATCCCACGCCGCTCGGATGGCTCATAGCATGCCATTCCCGAGTGCACTGCCATACAGGGAAGACGCAATGCTGGAGCCTGTGAGGCCGAGGTCCAAGATGGATCCACTGGCGGATTCGGGTGGGTTGATGCCTCTAGATATGCGTGGAGCAGAGTTAGGACCAAACTATGATAGAAACAAGAGGAATGACGAGGGGCGACTAAAAGAACAACAACGCGCGATGATGGCGTCTGAAGCCGCTGATTGGCAGATGACGCATTCGTCAATAGAAGAAAGCACGGGGTGGGATGTATTACGTCACATTCGCTTCGTGCTGCAGATGCGCAATGTGATGGCTTCGTAACAGAGAAAGGAACTGGTTCCGATAATCTGAAGGGTCGCATAAGAAGGAAGGGTGAGAAACAAGAGAAGAAAAATGGGTCAATTATCCTCCGTGTTAAGAGCGAGAAATGTACAGAATGGAAAAAAAAGACGAAATACGCTCCAATTACCACCACCACAACTACAACTGCTACTGCTACTACTATTCTCATTACCACTTGTATCAACAACAGAAAACAGTGACAGTACCAACAAGAACGAGAGAGAGCACATACAAGGACGACCGAACCAATGCATTGATTATGTTGCGTTTCATGCCTTATTGGAGTCTTTGTGCCCGCTTTGCTTGATTGATTGTTTGATTGCTTTTGCCGTCACTGTTCCTTCCCGCGTATATATATATATATATATACATAGATATATACATGTATATATGTATACAAATATCTTTCTTGCTGATGTGTACACACCACAGTGCCAGCTTTCTCAGGTGAAGGTAAGTGCAAAGAGGGATGGGGTGTGGGGTGGGGGGCATGAGGGACGAGCTGGCTTGCTTTCCTCATTGGCAGTAGTATCGCTGCTTCGTGTGTCTGTGTTCACAGACGCGTGGGGGAGTAACACAACGCTTCGCGAGTGTGTCTGTGAGAGCATAGAGGTGAATGGTGGTGCCGGTGCCTTTACCCACGCGCAAAGGGCTTCCACCGTGTTATTATTGTCCCCATCCCCATCACTCGCTGGCTGTGTGTGCGCTTTCTCTCTATATTCTATCCCTGTTACATGCGCTTTGATGTGGGATGTGCCCGGCACACAAGTGCAGACAAATAAGCGCATGCACTCATACACACACACTTACGCATATAATCACACCCACTCCCTGTGTGTTTGTGTGTGTGTGTGTAGGCATCTATGCGGACATGCCTGCTGTGTGCTCCACTGTGTCTTTCCCCCTCGCTCTCTGCCATATATATATACATACATACAT